GATTCTTGGTCTGATTCTCTCATTCCATTCAGGATTCTGCTCAAATGTCATCTCATTAGAAAGGCTTACCCTGACCATCCTATTCAAAACAGTATTCCTTATCACTCTCTATTCCCTTTACTAACCTTTATTTTTTTGGCATTAGCAGTATTACCACCTAATATAATTATTTGTCTATATGTTTACTGTCTGTCTTGTTTTTCTGCTGCCTCAAGAGAGCAGGGACTTTGTCTAGTTCATTGCTATATCTACAGTGCTTGACACATAGAAGAGGCTCAGTAAACATTTCCTGAATAAATGAAGCATGATGAATATCCAGTCACCTTTAAGACACAGTTTAAAGGTCATCTTATGATAAAATCTTCCCTCAGGCAGAGTTAGTTACTCCTTTTGTGGTACTTTCCTTGAACTAGATATATGTTTTTATTATAACATTTATGAATAAATATTTATATCTCTAGCTTTCCAACTAGAATGTAAAGTTCTTAAGGACATGCATGTAGGTGTTATAAAGTCTGGAACACAAAAGAACCCTGACTGATACATTGTTCAATAAATGTTTGCTGAATGAGTGAATGAATTCTCACCTTTACAATTCTCAGAGTAAAGCACATTTAGTTCTGGTTTAACAATGAGTAACTTGACCCCCATATCCTTTCTCTCCAAACTTTCTCTCCTGAACTAGAATAAAGCCCTTAAACATCTTTTACTAGATGGAGGTAGTAGCACCATGAGACTAAATTCAACTCAACACTATAGGTAACTAGGTTGTAGATATGGCCTTGAAGCAATGGTAGAAGGAACAAGAATCAGGAAATCAAATAACATCTTCACAGGCTGTATATTCGATTATTTGTTTGTTGTCTGCATCTTCACTGCAACTGCAGCCAGAATACGTGCTGGTGAAGAGCAAGGTCCTTCACTGTCTGGTTCACTGCTAGATCCTTAGCACCTGGAACTATATCCAGCACAGAGTGGGAAGCCAATAAATATCTGTATAATGTTAAAAATTTGAATCTCTGAAGCATTAATGGCAAAAAGACTTCCATTCAAGATGATAGTCTATAAAAACTAGTTTGCAATATACAAAATTTCACTTAAGAATAACTTTGCTGATATCTATTCTTTCCAGGTATACCTACGTGTTTTTTTTTTTTGCAAATTTACAAAACAATCAGAATGAACAGAAGGAAAGGTGGATCACAAAAAAGAATAAAAGAGAACAATTATATAAATTAAGGCTCACATATTGAAACCAGCTCATTTGCATAGGAGAATCACAGTGAAAGGATTCATTAGTTGTCTAAAACTAATAGTTGAATAAAAATGTTTTCAGTGAACTGGAGAAAAGTGAGTTCAACTGAATTTGAGGAAAGCTTATTAGATTAACTGAGTTAAAACACAGTAGCTAAAAACATTTACTAATTCAAAAAGTAAGTCTATATTAACTTGAAGTGTTTTAAAATTAACTCAGTTGTTCTCAATTAAGGTTTTCTCTGTACTAGGTCAGATCTCATCTGCCAATGTTCCTATCTCCTGGTTTATGCACATGTGCTGTGTTGTCACAAATAAAAGCCCATATTCTTAAGAGAAGTCTTGACATCTTCTTAAAAGTATATTTAATGGGCTATGGGAATGGGGTGATCAGGGAAAAAAAGCAGGAGCATATTTGGTTGGAACAGAAATAGAGTTCAGAGGAAGACAGGTGATGGGGATGCCCAAGACAACCAGGACTGGTTGGGCGGGGGCACTTGAAAGGCTAATCCATCACCTTCAACAAATACAGAGACCTCTTAGTAAGTGATTAGATTACAAATGTAAGAAGCAGACCAGTCTTATCCACAGGGAATTACAAAGTAAGGACAGAAACACATGGTCCCAGGCCCTGTACATTTATAATCTAAATGGGGAGAAAAGAACTATCAGGAGGGCAGGATAGCTATACTTACACAAAGAGAAGTTAACAGTTTTATTAGGATCTTTGGAATTAAGAAAAGTTAATTTTGAAGTAGAAATGCAGAAATTATCAGGATTTGTATTATTAGGCTCTCCTTAAGTATTCATTATTCTAAATGGCAAAACCAACTGCCAAGATCCACTACTGGTTAAAAAGCAGGAAACAGTGGAGGCAAAGTTAGTAATAAATGTTCTTGTGGGGCTTGGTTCAAGTCTCCTCTCTTTGGAAAGCTTTTCCCATACACCTAGGACAACAGCTCCCCTCTGAACTTAATGCCTTTCCACTCAGATATACTTAATGCCTTTCCACTCAGATATACTGGCTGCCTTAAACAGTTAGCTAGAGTATCATGTCTTAGCTCTTTACCTGAGATACGGAAACTCCGCAACGGACATTAGAGATACAAATTATTTTATACTTATGTGACAAACAACAAACTGATGCACAAGTTATCCCCAATGCTCAATATAGTAAGTACATAAAACATACAGCCCAACTTTTTGAATGTGTCTAACTTAATAGTGCAGACCAGAAGATCTAAGAATGGTGTAAAAGTCAGAGATGGCAAGGTGGACTAGATGGTGTTCATTTTATAGTTTTCTCTACTGTACAGGGGTCTTAGTAACTCAGCACTGACCAGGCATCAAGGCTTCAAGGCTTAGGCACTGTCACTTGAAGGGCAGGTGTAGATCCTCAAGAACCATGCTAGTCAAGGAGCAAAGCAAAAGGCAAAGGCAGGAGACAAGATTCAGAAACCAGTCACTGGGAGGTCCCTCTCTGGATCTAAGAAGCGAAGTTAGGAATTTGTGGCAGCTGAGTACAGTAAGAGAGGATGCCTCCCACCTCACCATGAGAGAGATAACACTGCACATAATAACAATTTAGTTCACTAGAACTACATCAAAATACACTCAACTAATTAAACTGTCAATCCTTTGTGA